GGTGCACACCTAGGCGACACCCCACCGCGTGGCAATCGTGCATGATCCCAGGTGTGCACCGATAGCGCTGTGGGTTCCGCCCATGCTTCTGAACACTTGTACCTTTTTTCTGCGATACACGATGTGCGGCTGTTTTAGCCACGAACGTGTTCAGAAGCACGGGCGGAACCACGGCAGGAAACCGCACGATTCGTCCAGCGCAACTAGGGTGCCATTGGAAAATAGTGGCACCCACAGCGCAATCGGTGCACACCTGGGCGACTCCTGATCGCGAGGCAATCTGCGCAGAATCGTGCGTGATTGCCGCGCGGTGGGGTTTCGCCTAGGTGTGCACCAGCCCTTAAGGGACTTCAATTTTGCTAAGGGTGATGTCTACTGATTTCCCCTTCCTGCCCGCTGTAACTCAAATAGTAAAATACTTACCTTTACCCCAGCCCTAGAAACTGCCCTAAGATCATTAGTCTGTATTGTTTTAGAAACAATTTCACGTGCCCCTTTAAGAAAAAGTATCGGTAATTGGTATCGGCAAGTACCTGAGGGCAAGTTCTTGTACTTGGTCTTGAAAAAGTGGTATCGGGACATCCCTAATTGAGATCAGTTAAAAAGACTCTGACACCTCCAGTTGCCTTGCACTTTATACCTGCTGGCAGTTCTTTTTGTTAAAGAAGAACTCCAGGCAAACTTTTTCCTAACTCTTGCAGTGGAGCTACCCCCGCACTGCAGGGGTTAAAGTGACATTAAAGGATACGTTTTTTTCCCTCCCCCCAATGTTAGTGTAAGCACTTACCTTAAATGATGTCTCTTAATCTGATCTTCTTTCCTGTTGTTTCAGCCTTCTCTCCAGCGCTGATGCGGGTCTCCGATCCGCTGCTGACTCCTCTGTCCTTGCTGGCACTTCCTGTCCAACGGTGTCTGCATGCGGGTACACGCTGTCCATAGACTTACCTTGTGTCTCTCCTCGTCTCCAGGCTGAAAATCTGAACTGCGCATGCGCCCACCCCAAAATGCTGTGCGGCCACCCGATATTTTTCAGATTTTCAGACAGGAGCGCGTGGGGAAGACACAGGTAAGTTTAAACCCTTTTTAAAGCGTTTTTTTTTTTTAATGTTTGCATATATCTACTGCTTGCTAGCCTCATATATATGCAAAAAAAGGAGGGTTTAATTATACTTCAAGTGCTTATTTTGGTCTAGGGAGGAAAATAAGTTATACTCTCCTGATGCTCTGAGCTTGCTTGTTCTTAGTTGTTCTTGCTCCTTCCAGCCTCGCCCCCCCTCCGCTCCAGTGGTCTAAGGATCGTTGAGTCATGTGTATAGGACGTGTATACACTGTGTATAGGACATGAGGATGCTGAAGGCATACCACCGCTGCAGAGGAGGAGGAGGCAGGCTGGAGGGAGCGCTGTAACAATTGGTCGTCTCCGAGGATCGGGTGAGCATAGCTGTTATTTTTGCACCTAGACGAAAACGAGCACTTAACCCTTGCAGTGCCGGATTAAGAAAACATTTGCCTGGAGTTCTTCTTTAAGTAACTGAGTCAACTTATAGTCAATTTCAAATCAATTTGTGATTTGGTTTTTATTAGTCAATGAAAGTCAATTTGAATGTGTTGCAGTGCTGGGAGGCAGAAATCCTGAGAAGGCACTGGGCTGGACTGCATTGGGCTAAAAGTGCATTTTTGCAGGATTTTGATCTCCCAACTAATTGGCACCACAGCTCACTGAAAGCACTTTGACATCACCTGTGCCTCCTGCAAGCGTCTGATGCTGGGGCCTAGGGAAAATATTTTTTGTTCTTTTTTTGGGTGAACCGTTTGTTTCCAAACAAATACTTCACCGTTTTTATAGCCATTTGTGTTGGGGGAGGTACAGGGGACTGTCAAAGAAACAGACCTTTTGTTTGCTTTGGAAGGTCTGTTTTAAGTGCTGGATATAGTGAGGGGAATTCGTAAAAACTGGAGCAGACAAAATCTGGAGCAGTTGCCCTTAGCAACCAATAAGCTTCTCCCTTTCATTTTCAACGCTTAACTGAACAAACTGAAGAGAGAAGCTGATTGGTTACCATGGACAACTGCTTCAGATGTTATGAATTCCCCTATTGATGTTAAGTATTCATTTATGCTATGGTGGAATGATACATGTTATGTAATGAAAGCCTGGATACAAAAATAGTTATCTGAGCAAATAATAACAAAACAATGTGTGAAAATTGAATGGAACAAAAGGAATATGGGTGTGTGCTACATGCCCAACCAATGAGCTTGAATAAAGCATATGTATAGACAAAATATTATTTGTAGTTTTGTGTAGAGTAGGGAGGGTAAAACACCTACCAGGTTATTTTTTGCTGTCTATAAACCACTTGTGGAATTTTCCTTTTACTTCCTGTCCCAGGAAATTAGAGGAAATCTCCTAGTGCTAGGGGAATTCTCTTAGTTATCTCTGGAACAGGTACCCAATTTAAAGATTTGTCCTTACATCTTGTTCATCTTACTATAACATTTTAAATTTCCCATCAATTTCTGTATGTATTTCAGAATCCTGCTGCACTCCTTACCAAGTATCCCTGTCAGCGTGGGTGCTCGAAATGACCGCGGATGGCGCCGCCAATACTGAAACTTGGTAAAGATGTCACCAGCACACCATATTAAAGTGAAGAACGCATCTGTTTATTGAAGCTTCATGTCAAAACAAATAGCAAAGTTTCGGAGCCACACAGGGTCCCCTTCATCAGGGCTTGAAATGAACACCATTTCAAGCCTGATGAAGGGGAGGGATAATGTGTGTCCCCTAAACGTTGCTATTTGTTTTGACATGAAGCGTCAATAAACAGACGTGTTCTTCTCTTCAATATGGTGTGCTGGTGACATCTCTAACAACTATCCTCTCAAAAGGACACTGACAATAAAAAAAACAAAACCTTCCCCTCTCTGTCAACAATAAAAAAATCAACTGATCCTCAGTCCTGCAGCGGTCAGCACTCACCTCTCTTCCCCGTCCACTACGGCGGTGGAATGTCCCTCTAATGCACTTGCATTAGGCGTGATGACGTCACGGTTCTTAGAGCGCAGAGCGGAGGGGGAGAAGAGGCTGTAGGGACGGGTCTAACAGCCAGTTGGGAATGAGGATCACGTGAGTATATCTTCTTTATTTTAGTCTCTGAACCAAAATGACAATTTAACCCTTGCAGTGCATGGGGTAGCCCCACTGCAAGGGTTAATTTTTTACAATTCTTGGAGTTCCTCTTTAAAAATGGAAAGTGGAAGAGTTGTCCAGAACAATTAGCTTAGTGCAGGTTAACATGTATCTCTATGCATAACCTGTTTGTGTGCCGGCCCCTAGAGAAAAATGAGCAGTTGACCCTTGCAGTGCAGGGCAGCCCCACTACAAGGGTTCATTTTTACAATTCCTGGAGTTTTCCTTTAATGACGACTATAATCAACAACAATTAATAGTTATTGCATGAGGTGCAATGTTTTAAAAGATGTTACTTTTCAGTCATGTATACTGTTTCCTTTTATATTCACACCATATTGATAAATAATTCTCTAAAAACTATACCTAGAGAAGACCCAAAAAAGGCACGTGGTCCATGTCGGTGCTCCCTTTGCCTTTTCATGCAGATCAGAATCTAAGATTATACTGCATGTGCTAAAAGGCTTATGGAGAATGGAAGCCTTGCTTCCTGCAAACGTCACTGCTCGGGTGGCCAATCACAGTGGAATTTCCCACGTTACAGCAATGTTGTCTTGGTAAGGAAACATAAACCCAACACAGAACACACTGCTGCTGCTTTACATAAGCTTTAATACCATGCAGGATACAATGTCACAGCTGCTGCCTTGCAGTACATTGAGAACAGAGTGTGAGAAGAAGGGATCAGCTGACAAAATGCATGGAGACATGTATATGTAGATGATGGATTGTCGTGACGTCACAACCACCTCCATCCATGATGCTCCCTCCCAATCATGTGAGCATATTAAAGTACAGTCATCACCAGCCTTCGTCATCGCTTTCATGTGTTTTATAACATCAATCAATAAAACATTTCCCATTGGTTCTACAGGAAATATTGAGGGGGTACATGACAGCTCTTTCCCTCTAAAGCAGCCATTCTCAACCAGGGTTCTGTGTAGCATCCTCCAGACAAGGGGTGTTTTGAGCTGAGGCTGGTTGACCTCCTATGTGATGGTGTCTGTCCTGTTCCAGAGCCAACACCGCTTGGCAGAGTAAACTGCATGACACCAATTATGTCTTTAGCTGTCCCTGAGGGTGGCATTCTGTCCTACTGGAATTCTTCCTACTGATCACCAATGTAAGGGTAATTTTTCCCTCTAAATTGGTTTTAGCAGGGGTTTCCTGAGACCTGAAGATTATTACAAGGGTTCTTTAGGAACAAAAAGGTTAAGAAAGGTCGCTGTGAAATGTTCTCATGTTATAAAGGCAGCAAGCCACATGCATGAGGCTTGTAAAAACACATGTGACAATTGTGGAATAATTACTATCCAGCATGTAATCTATCTAGGTAGAATAAAAGCATACATTAATGAGAGGAAGGGTGGGGATCTTTTTAGCCCTAGATTTAGCTGTGACAGAAACAGGAGCGGTCTTATGACTTGACTCACACAACCCTCTGCCTTTGGGCAGCATTCAATAGGTCATTCAGTCTCATGCACAGAATTAATACACCCCAACAACACTAGCTTCGCCAGCTCTCCATTGAATAAGGGCAAGCCATAGAAACGTGCTGCTATTTACATCCATCTCAGAACATGCCAGCCCCATCCAGAAGGACAGATTATAAAACCCTGTCCAAGGAGACTGTGCTCTCATAATTGACATGCCAGGATACATCCACATCAGAACACCATGTACCCGATCCATCCTCCCAGTTTAGGAAAGTGTTCTGATGAAAGAATAGAATCCATTCCCTCGTGACAGCTAATAATACAAGCACATGCTAGGCGCCATACAAGGATTGGAAGGAGCAAGGTCTTACCTGTGTGATGGAGCTGTTGAGGTAGTTCCACAATGAAGACAAGGCAGTACATCCAAAGATAGGGAGCTGGGATCGCTGGCCTGGAGGGATGGATGAAGAAGGAGACAAGGGAGAAGCAGCTGGAGCGAATGGATGTGCGTACTCTACTGTGCAGACAAAGGATTGCATCAGACTGAAAGCGTGTGTTCAAGCTCCGGCGCCTCCTACACACACACATCCTTCCTTCCTTCCCTCCACTGAAAGCAGAAGACACGCTGCTGAGGTGCTGAAAGGTGCTGAGAAGCACAGCGGACCCACCACACTTATGGATGGCTTTGCAGTTCTTGTCACTCCTATTTCTCTTCTTTATCCCTAATTCACTTCTCTTTTCACAATTCAAACTTTAGATTTTGCTTAGGATCATGTGTCACTTTCATTTTAACCCTAGAGAGTGAGTCACCAGCAAAGCATCATCTTCATCATGAAAATGCCTTTATTAACATTAAAGAAGAACGCCAGGATTTAGCAAAGTTAACCCTTGCAGTGGGGTTAACTGGCTTTTCTCTAGGGGCCAGAATACAGAAGACATGGTCACCTGTCTCTCAGTGTCCTCATGTCTAATGCAGGAGACTGGAACTTCATTAGGACCCATTCAAAACACATCCAGATTACCTCCAGACCAGACCAGACTGTTTCCAGAGCCAAAATGCATCCCAATGTATCCCTATGCTATTTCTGGCCTCTGTTCCCACCAGCGCAGTGCGTTCCAGACCAGACCAGAAAAATACTGCTTGTCCTATTTTGTCTTGTCAGGAATGCACTGGAACGCATCAAAACCGCATGAAACGCACTGGAACGCACCTGTAAGACCATTTTAAGCTAAAACAAAATGTGAACCAAAAAATCCAATCGCTGCAAAATCGCTGTCAAAATGCGGCAAAAATGCAATGCACTATGTTCCAGATCTGGTCCAGATCTGGTCCGGAAAATGGGGTGAACCCAGCAGGCTGGGTTCACCCCATTTCCCAGACCAGATCTGGAACATAGTGCATTGCGTTTTTGTCGCGAATGTACTGTGATTTTGCTGCGCTTTTGCCGTAATTGGAAATTGTTTTTTTTTTTAGCTTAAAATGGTCTTACAGGTGTGTTCCAGTGCGTTTCATGCGTTTTTGATGCGTTCCAGGGCATTCCAGACCAGACAAAATAGGACAAGCAGTATTTTACTGGTCTGGTCAGGAAAGGACTGTGCTGGTGGGAACAGAGGCCAGAAATAGCATAGGGATGCATTGGGATGCATCTTGGGTCCGTAAACAGTCTGCTCTGGTCTGGAGGTAATCTGGACGTGGTGTGTTTGGGCCCAGAAAGTGATGATGTCACAGGTATTTAGACCGCTGGAGCCCTGGGGAGAAGAGGCTGAGTGGTCTGGTCTAGAAGCCAGGCAGGATTGAGGATCATGTAAGTATATCTTTTTTAATCCAGCACCTAGACCAAAACGAGCAAGGGTTCATAAAAGTTTTTTTTCTTTAAAGTAGAATTAAACTTTTGTTTTTTTTTTGCATATATCTACTGATAGCAAGCAGTAGATATAAGCAAAAACATAAAAAAAAAAAAAATGTTACCAAATAGATAAATACTTACCTGTGTCTCCGCTGCTCACTCCCGTCTGAAAATGTGAAGATTCTCGAGCATCCGTGAAGGATCATGGGGCGGGCGCATGCGCAAAAAAGATCTTCGGCCGGGAGACGAGGAGAGACACGGTGTAAGTCAAAGCACGCAGAGAGCAGTGTGCACACGGACAGACACCATGGGACATAGAAGACACAGCAGTCAGCACTGGAGGGACTCCAGAAAACTACTGGAAAGAAGATCAGATCAAGAGGTATCATTTGAGGTAAGTACTTAAAGCAGCATGAGGGGGGGTGGGGAGGGGGGGGGCTTTAATGTCACTTTAAGCAGTCATGGTATCACAGAAAGAAGCAACACTTCGATACCAAGTAGGGTCCCTTCATCAGGCATGTGTGATAACAAGTACAGAAATAAACAAACATATATACACTAGTGAAGAAGCAATTAACCAATCACCAAACTCCGCTCCACCCCCTCTGATGTCATTGTGACCTCATTGTCCTGTCATCTTTACATGTAAGCGCTGTACTTTAATGTCTGTATAAAGAGCCTTGTCATAATAGTTAACCCAGGTCCTATGTATGGTGCTAGTGTGCCAATGAGAGCTTACAGGGGAAGTTGTTATGTTAGTTTGCTGAGCTGCTGTTTCAAGATTGGAACATGCGTACAACGTGCTAATCTTTCCCGGCCGCCATTGCAGCATAGCGTCAATATGGGAACATATACAGTAGCAATCCTATATAACATCAATGCAGAAACGCATATGGAATTGAATAAACATGGATTCTATACATCATATGTGTTGCCTGAACATTTGGCAAGGACAGAGTGACAGAAGGTCCAGTGGGAACATATTTAAAGTAGACCTGGGATATAAATGCAAGACAAATGAATGTGTGGTAATGCATGTGAAATTGAATAAAAAAGCATAATCAATGTTAAACTAATCATACAAATGTAAGTACCATAAATATGAATAGGCGAAGGCAATAAAGTTACAAAGGGGGGAATTTATCAAAACTGGAGCAGACAGAATCTGGAGCAATTACTCACGACTACCTGCAATTAGATTATTTTATCAGTTTGTTCAGTTGACCTTTAAAAATGAAAGATATAAGCTGACTGGTTACTATGGGTGACTGCTCCAGTTTTGATAAATTCCCCTTAATGTATATGCACATGGAAATAACAATTCGCTTGAAATTCATTTGAAAGAGATGAATAACCAGTCACCATGCATCATGGGTGGGTCACAATGTTAGACCCCATAGACAATGGGGCTCATGACTTTAGGGTATACAGCAAGCCAAGCCAAGCAGTGGCCAAAAAAATCATCTATTTGAATGCATGTACACGTATGGTTAAAATGTGCACCTGAATGCATGCAAACACATAATTGCTGCAATGCACAAAAAATACCATTCAGGAGAAAACAGAAAAGTGATAATGACATATTAAAAAAAAAAAATTCCCCGGTAAAAGTTCTCATGCACTGAAGACGGGATAATGTGCCACAGGTGTCTGTTCAATAGTCTGTTTGGCAGCAAGGAGGAAGGAATTATATATTAGGAGGGCAGCTTTATACAAGGTGAAATCTTGCAGAATCCACACACTATATCATATGAAGGGTATAGCTTTGCGACTAGAAATCCATCCAAATTAGAAAGTTCTGAAAATCTGTATAGTGTGTGGATTCATCCCTCTGCAATGACACAAGACAGCATAAAGTGGTTTTCTTTTGGATGGTATATTTTGCTCTGTCTGACCCTGATCATGCCAACATGGGGGTTCACATGCATATACACTCTTTTATGAATCCCATTAACTTCAAGTTCCCATGATCATTCACTTTTTTGTGCATTGCCGCAATCATGCATTTACATGCATTTAGGTGCACATCTTAATGATATGTTCACATGCATTTACATGCATGTCTTTTGGCCACTGCTCGGCCGCCGCAATCTGGACATACACTGAAGTCATAAGCCCCATTGTCTATGAGGTCTGACATTGCGACCTATCGATCATGCATGATCAGCAGTTATTCATCTCTCTCAAGTCTACTTTAACAGAGTTATTCACAAAAGGGTGAAGAGTTTGGAGAAGGCAGGAGAAGTGAACAATCTAGGACAACACAATTGGAGAATTTTTTCAAATCAGCTAGATTGTTCACTTCTCCTGCCTTCTTCAAACTCTTCACCCTTCTGTTAATAACCCTGTAAGTGAACTGTTATTTCTGTGTGAACATTGTAATTGTATTGCCTTTGCATGTTGATATTTACTATGATGACATTTGTATAATTAGTATAATGTTGCTTAGCATGTTTAATCAATTCAAATGTTTAGGAAACAGATATGATGTATAGAATCCATGTTTATTCAATTTCACATGCATTACCAGACATGCGTTTGTCTTGCATTTATATCCCAGGTCTACTTTAAACATGTTCCCGCAGGACCTTCTGTCACTATGTGTCCTTGCCAAAAGATGGGGAAACAGATATGATGTATATCTAGAATCCATGTACCAAAACCTTTATGTCTACAGGCCATTGGACTCCATATATGCTTGCTTACACACATTAGCAAATATGACACCAGGCACTGTGTACAGTGTATCAAAGCACTCTTTGTGCTTTGATGGTGTACACTCAGGATTGCTACTGCATATGTCCCCATATTGACATTATGTTGCAATGGCGGCCTGGTGGCCAATCTTGAAACATCAGCTCCGCAAACTAACAACACAACTTCCCCAGCAAGCTGTCATTGACACGCTAAAACCATACTATACAACATAGGAACTACTGGACTAACTGTTATGACAAGGCTATAACAAGGTTCTTTATGCAGACTTCAAAAGTACAGCGTTTACATGTAAAGATGGTGGGACAATGGCATCAGAGGGGGTGGAGAGGAGTTGAGTGATTGGTTGACTGGTTCCTCACTGGTGAATATATGTTTGCTGTATTTCTGTACTTGTTATGACATTGCCTGATGAAGGGACCCTGTGTGGTCTAGAAACATTGCTTTTTTCGGTGATACCATTGGGGTGATTTACTAACCTAAACACACGCACGCACTAGGTGCGTGTGATTTTTACACAGCAAAACGTATTTATCAACCAAAAAGTCTCTAAAAGCTTATTTCCACTAATGCCATATATGGAAAAATCATGCACATGATGCATATATAATGCTGCTTCACAGTTTAGACAAAAATGGTTAGCTCATGCATTTACATTCCTACATTCATCAACGCAAGCAACACAATCTAGAGCTAATTTACACAACATCACCTTGCAATTCATGCAGGGCTTTGCACAACACACCTGCTGGGTGTGTACACACTACAAAGGTGTCTAGATTCCACCAATAGATCATGCTCGGAGGGAACACACTACAGAGGTGTATACTTGTTTGTGGCGTGTTTATAAGGTTAGTAAATCAACCCTCATGACTGCTTAACATCAATATAGGTATTTCCATGATGAAGATGACAGTGTGCTGGTGACTCACTTCCTACTTTGCATGCATGCAGCGCCATTGGCTGATC